CATATTGAATTTTTAATATCTTTGAATTTAATTTAAAGACACTTGTCAAATTTTAATTGGTCTCAATTTAATGACAAAATCTTGTCATTATCACATGGCAATTTGTGATTCGTAGAAATTTATCAATCAACAAAAGCCCCCTTTTTGAAATAATGCGAAAGTTGTGGATGAATTTCGAAAAATATTTTAGTATTTAATTTTTACACAAACCACAATTTGGAATATGCCCAAATTGAAAATTTGAAATAAAAATTTGACAAATTTGAAATATGTCCAAATTTTGGCTTGAAGTGGGTAAAGTTGAATTTTGACGTATAGGAGTAAAAGTTTGATTTTGAATTTTTACCCCAATATGACGAAATTGAGATTCTATAATTGTAAAATTTGGAATATGCCCAAATTTAAAATTCTATCCAGATTTCAAGAATAAGATTTTTTTTTATTTGAATTTTGACTTGAATGGGAATCAAGTTTGAATTTGAGTTTTTATCTCAATATCAATTTGGAATATGGCGAATTTGGTAAAATCGTAAAATTTGGAATATGCCTAAATTGAACTTGTACAAAGATTTTGAATTTTGACTTGAATAGGAGTAAAGTTCGAATTTGAATTTCTACCCCAATCTCGATTTGGAATATATGGCCAAATTGAGGTTTGAATTTGTTAAAGTTGTAAAATTTTTTAATAGAATTTTGGATCTATGCTTGAAATTGGAATAAAATTTGAATTTGAATTTTTATTCCAATTGTAAATTGGGTAAGATTTGGAATATGCCCAAATTTAAATCCCAGATAAATTCAAATTTATGAAATCTTGATTTAATTTGGAGTTGGAATTCTCGGCCATAAACATATCCCAACTTACCCACAATAATTAGATTTTTCATCTATGAGATTGAAATGTGAATCATGGTCCAAATTTGACAGTTCCATGAGATTGAAATGTGAATCATGATCCAAATTTGGTCCAAATTTGACGGTTCCTTTGCCTATCCTTAGCAAGGATCATTTGCTTGCCTACTTCAATGGTGGTGATCACCTTTCATATAGCGCCCAACAATAACTATGTTCAATTTATAATTGACATAGTGACTTTTTTTTTTTTGCTAGACTAAACTTTTTATTTTCTTTAAGCTACCTAGGTATCCTTTAAAAAGAAGGATCACGTCATAACGTAGTTCGATAATTTTTTTTTTTTTTTTTTCCCTCCCACCTTTTGAGCTCATATGAGGAAGGAGCATTATGCAGTTTAAGCTCTTGCAGTGAGGAGCAATCTTCTTCATATTTTTTTCTCATTATCATGAATAAAGTTTCTTTGGAAGATTTTCTTTAATGTCATTACTTTCTCTTGATTCTTGAGAAAGAGATGAAAGGTAGAGATATTTTGGGGGTTTATACAATCTCTAATATTTATCCTCTGATTCTTTCCCTTGAATTTTTATGATGATTTGGATCTTCTTTGGCTTCACCTTTATATTCAGATGGTGGAGGGATTTTAATCCCAAGTGTGGAAAGGATTTTGATCCACGGCAAGACGAGGTATTTTGATCCTCTCCAGGATGGTGAATGAACCCCTCTATTTATAGGGTTTTTCATGGGCCTTAGGTGGGCTTGGATCCATTTGATTTTAAGTACATTGCCACTTGGCACAATCCAATTAGGTTATCTTATTTCATCAAATAGACGCGACGAATTTTGATTGGACCGATTTATGTCATACGTTGGGCAATCTTATTAGACCAAGTTATGTCATCATATGGTCCTAACATAATTTGATTGGTTGAATTCAAATGCCCAAAAATAACATGTGACATTATTTAATTGGCCTCAACTTAATGACATATAATTTTGTCATTATTATGTGACAATTTGTGATTTTCTGAAATTTATCAGCCAATCGCTCCTTTTTCTATCATTCTATCACTCTATCGCTCATTTTTTTCCCATCGCTCCTTGCCTTGTTTTTCTCTCCTCTATCTTCTATAACTTTTTTTTTATGTCCCCTATCTTCTTGATGCAGTCTTGCACACAAAGTTTGATAATATTTCAATGATGCTTTATAGAAGTTTCAAACTTAAACCAAATAGGAGTAACTCCTTGTTACTGTGTAGTAAAAGAGAAACAAGTTAAAGAAGGCTGCTATTAATAGGTTACAAGGGAAAAGCTAACTAACAGCCACTCCACTACACCACTTTTATTGCTCACTTTTTCTCTCCTCCCTCTTTTATCGCCAGTTTTTCCCTCTCTCTTTTTTTCTTCTCTCCTCTCTCTTTCATCGCTAATACTAGCGATTTCTTCAAATTTCTATTGGTGAACGAATAATGGAGATGAGAAATATAAAGATTCTGAGAAAAATTTAAAAAACAAAATAAAGAATTAGAAAAAAAAATTGAAGAGAAAAATAAGGAATAAAAAAAATTTGAAAAACAAAATAAATAATCAAATAAAATTTTTTAAATAGAAAAATAAAGAATAAAAAAATTGGAAGAGAAAATAAGGAATCAAACTTAGAAATATTTTAAAATAGAAAAATAAAAATCGAGTTGAAAAAAGTTGAAAGGGAAAAATAAATAATTGAGTTAGAAAAAATTGAGATAGAAAAATAGGAAAAAATGGTGAACCGGGGAAGTACGCGACTGAAAGAAAGGATTGAAAAGTAATTTCACGTGATAATAAGGTTAGAATAACAAATTTATCAGAATGGTGTCATATCTGATTGACGCCTCGAAATTTATATCATTCTTGCGGACTTTTTTTTTAATAATGTAAAAACGAAAAACGAAAATAAGGTAAGTTTTGACACGTATCTAAATCGTGTACATTGTGAATTCATGAAACTCGTGTCCGTTCGTCTGATGTGGCTCAAACGGTGCACAGTTGGAGCCACGTGTGTTGTAGGAAATCATATGCATTGCACACGATTTCACCAAACTCATGTACAATGCACACGGTTTCACCAAACTCGTGTACAATGTGTACAATTTACACGAGTTCCGTCTCCACCCCCCTCCCCCACCTCTCATTTTTAAACCAAAAATCCTTATCCTTTCTCTGTCTTCCTCTCCTCTCTCAACTCAACCGCTGTCATACTGTCATTCGTCGCTGCCACTGCCTCCACCAGTCGTCGTCGAAGGTGATATTATTCCTCCCTTTTTTGTTTTAGTTAGATTTTATTACGATTCCTACACTTGTAGTTCATTCAATCATCGCATCAAGTTCAATTCATCCACCGAATTCATTACCACAGCTATCACCTATTGAGGTAACACACAAGATATGGATGATATAATTCATCATCCATCATCACATATTGCTATGTCTCAACCTCGTCGTGGAGCTCGCTTGAGAAGACGACCATCATGTGGTACATGAGTTTTTATCGTAATTCTGTAATATTTCAATTTATTTACATTTAAATCAACTTGTGTACTGAAATTTTATTAATGGATTTGAAATTAGTTTATCATTAAAGTTAATTTTTATTATAATGTGGTACGTGAATTTAGTATACTGAAACTTTTATTAATCAACTTATGGTACATGAATTTGTAAGATCGAATGTCAACACTAGAGGGGGTGAATAGGGCTGCTTACCACGTTTTTTAAAAAGAAGAGGAAATAATGAACAAAATATTTAAGTAAACCTATATGCAATCTACCAAGATTCAAAGTAGATAAATACTGAAATTAAAAGAGAGAAGAGAAGAGAGTGGTGACACCGAGAATTTTTATAGTGGTTCGGAAATTCCTACTCCACTCTCCAAGACTTCTTCTTGGGTATTTTACTGTAGTGACCCTCTTAACGGGTGAGAACCAAACCGATCTACCCTCTTTTTGTCCTAGGCTAAAGAGAAACTCAAAATCCTTTTTACTGGTTCAGGATCCAACCAATTTACTTTTCTCACAACCCAATGTGTAGCCACACCTTAACACAAAACCCATTTTGAAAATAAAGAATTAAAAAACAAAGTGGATTACACAAATTTTGCACCAAAGTAATGGCTAAAAAATCACACTCTAATGAATCTCTCACAAAAAAATGAGCAAGTTATGTGTATGAGAGAACGAATATTTTGCAAAAGTTGATATGAGAATTTATGATTTTACTTTGATAGTTGGTGTCTCGAATGATGGAATTTGGTGGCTTTAAATAGAGTTTCTAGGATGAATTTCGACCATTGGATTTAGGACAACAAATAATGAATGACATATAGATTAAGGTGTGAGGTAATGAAATGAAAACATAATTATGGCGATTAAAATTGTGAGTGATTGAGGAGATTGAGAGTGACCGAGGAGATTGAGAGAAATTGGTGAAATAGTTTTGTAGAGATTGACAGTACCACATGTCATCTTCTCATTTGTTCGATTGTTGTATGTCAGGTCAGCATAAGTATGTCCTCTTAATGTCACATGTTAACTTCTAAGCGGTCAACTTGTCCATGTCACCCACCATGTAGGATTTGTCCATTTGTCCACGTCATCCGCCACGTAGAATTTTTCTCCTAACTTGTTTTGACTATAACTTTTTCGTTTAAACTCCGATTTGAGTGATTTGACAGACATTGGTTTTGTCTTTTCGAGCTCTATGCTATGAAAACTTTGAAACACTCAAATTGTTAGTTTATACTTAGTTTGTGATCATCAAAATATTTAGTTTGATTGAAGCCATAAAGCTAACAGAATTTAGTTCACAATTTCAAAATTGTTGCAAATGAAGACAAATTGGGTATTTAATTTAGAAGGAAATATATATATATATATATATATATATATATATATAATCTTTTTTCTGGAAACTTGTGTAAATTGTTGTTCATGAGTTTTGACTTTGATCATAACCACCCTACTTTTGTCAATAGTTGTGTAATGTAACCTATTTCAGATTTATATTATTTTATTTACATATTTTTTAATTTTAGTTTGTAATTTAACTTTTAAATTATATAATTTATGAACTTAGTCCCGTGCAATTCTACCTAGAGGCTAGAAATGCCAATTTTCCAATTATCTGGTATTTCATCTACTAAAAAACAACGAGATAGAAGTGGGAGTTGGATGGCCAAATGCTGCAAACTGCATCAAAAAAATGCTCGAAATCCAGTGAAGCCGAAGAATATTCAAATGGTGGTCTCCTCCACTGCGCTCACCTCGTCCTTCCATGGCTGACCTCCCTCGAACTCGCAAACATTTCTCTCTCCTGCAAATCCCTCAACGCCGCATCCAAATCCATCACCCTCCGCCGCATTCTCGACGCTTCTAGATCCATCGAGCCCCTCCCCATTCCCTTCCACAGTTCAATCGACAACCACCCCTACGCCTTCTTCCTTTACGCCCCCGCCGCCATCGTCCCCAATCTCCACTCCGATCGCCGACAACCATGGGGCTCCATTTCCGATCCCGGGCCGGACCATCTCCAGACCGAATCCGCGAGTCTGGTCCTCGCATCTGGATGTCATTGTGAGAATTGCGCGGATTCCGAGTTCGAATGCCCCTGTTCGAGTCTCGATGGGTTAGAGGATGTTGCTAGCGAGTGCGGACCGCGGTGTTCTTGTGGGCTGGAGTGTCAAAATCGGCCGACTCAGAGAGGAATTTCTGTTCGATTGAAGATTTTGAGAGATGAGAAAAAAGGATGGGGTCTGTACGCGGACGAGTTGATTCAAGAAGGGTCTTTCGTTTGTGAGTATGCAGGTACTCTTTGATTTTCATTCTGTGGAATTTGTTACGAATTTGCATAATTTTGGACCTTCTGCCTTAATCTGGTTGAGTGGCTGAATTTATTTTGAATCTTACAGTTCAAGATTATCCTTACTTTTTCTTTCAAGTTTCCATTGATTTTCTACTTCACATGAACTAAATCCCTCTTAGATCAATATTAAGGTAAGACCTCTGCTTGAAGTCTGGATTTAATGCTTAAGGAACTACTCATCTACTTGGTATATATAGAAGTGTGAATTTCATATTATAAAGTTTATTTCATTTCATATTATCAACTAAATTGTTTCTTAGAAACAAATCTCAAAATAGTTGACAAATTGAAAATGTGAAGTTTCTACCAATTTCCTACTTAGCCTGATTGTGAACTGAATCTCTGTTAGATCAATATTAGGGTAAGATCTCTAGTTTAAGTCCCAAGTTAATGCTTAAGGGGACTATTTATCTACTTTGTATATATAGCAGTGAATTTCATATTATAAGGTTACATTTCAGACTTTCAGTTTCCCATTTAGTCGAGTGCTAAATTAGTCGGCATATTGAAAATTTTACGTTTGCATCGATTTCCTTCTTAGCCTGAGTATGAACTAAATTCCTCTTAGTAAATATTAGGGTAAGACCTCTGGTTGAAGTCCCGAACTAATGCTTAAGGAAACTATTCATCTACTTTGTACATGTAGAAGTGAATTTCATAGTGTAGGATTATATTTTAGTTCTTTAGTTAAGTGCCAAAATAATCGAAATGTTGCAGATTATGTATATGTGTGTCTCTTAAGTTCAACAATGAACTAAATCTCTTTGAGTTGGGTGCGGTGCCTGGGTATTTTTTATTTTTATTTATTTATTTTTTTAGTATAGGTGTCCTTGGGTATAGGAGAGGAGAGTTTCGAATTCCAGTTATAAAAAAGGAAAAAAAAAAACACATTGAACTAAATCTCTGTTAGGTTTATCAAATAATAGATAACAGGTTCTCGGTGCTCATGAGAACTACTCGTCTAATTTGTATATAGAAGTAAATTTCATTTTGTAAAACTATTAGCCTATGTCGTGAATTTCGATGCCCTCTCCGTCAATTTGTTTATGAGGGTAATCGGGCAAGGATAAATAAATAGATGAAAACTATTAGCTTTCTGGGAAAAAGTATGTAGATGATGTTCATTGATCAGTATATCAGATTTGTGGCTTATGTAAGTCAACATGTGTTTATATGATTGATGAAGGGTATTTGTCTATTTGATGACCAAAAAAACTCGATAGGGATTGTTATCCATGTAATTGAAATAATTGTCTTTAACGTGTTGAAGATCTCTAAACTTGATGCCACTCAATTTTTGTGTTGAAAAGGTGAACTTTTAACCACTGGAGAAGCAAGAAGGCGGCAGAAACTATACGATGCACGGGCATTAGGTGGGCGTTTTGCTTCGTCTCTTCTCGTTGTGAGAGAGCATCTTCCATCTGGAAATGCATGTTTGCGAATTAACATCGACGCAACACAAATTGGGAATGTTGCGCGGTTCATAAATCACTCTTGTGATGGAGGTAATCTAGCAACAAGATTGGTGAGAAGTGCAGGCGTTATGTTGCCTCGCCTTTGTTTCTATGCTTCAAGAATGATAACAAAAGATGAAGAGCTTACATTTAGCTATGGCGATATCAGATTGAAGCCCGAAGGTTTGAAATGCTTCTGTGGTAGTTCTTGCTGTTTGGGAATTCTGCCTTCAGAAAACACATAATTTTACTTTCTGTTGTATACTTTCTTCACGTTAGATTGGATGAACATTAATTTCAACTTGCACACCTACATTTAAAGTTGAACATCAATTTCAAAACTTGACTCCATTGGGTTTCTTTTCCTCCTACATTGATTTGATTCTGTCTCATAGATCAGGACATGAACTTATGGAAAGCCACTTCAATGTTATTCTTCTCCAAGTTGATTCTCATCTTCGGCGGAGAAGCTCGTCGGGGACGGTGAAGATGGTGGGCAACTGGCTGTTTTCCTCGTCTTCCTCCTCTTCGATTGACCGGTGGGGGAGGTGAAGAGGCTCCAACTGATGGGAAGATGGGGCAGTCTCGGTCGGAAGGTCGTAGTTGGAAGTGAAACTACTCAAATTGATCGCGTTATGAGCGGAGGTGGAGGCGGAGGCGGAGACAGAGACGGAGGAGTTGTTAGAGTAAGCAGGCTGCAGAACTCCGACTTGGGGTGGCTGTGAGTTTTGAATTGCAGTTGCAAATGCCAACCTGCTGTTTATCAATTGAGTTTGAACCGCCGCAAGCTCTGCCTGCAGAGATGCCACCTGCAATTCATACAACCATTCTTACAACTTACAAATGCAGTTGCATATCAATGATGAAAAATTACAAATTTCATGGCTGAATTTTTAACAAATTTCCTAACGTTTCTGTTTTTTTTTTTAATAAAGAAAAATAAAATTGCATAGTTACCAACACCCATAGATTCAAGAATGATAAAACAACATTATTTTTATTTTTGAAAGAGGAACTAGAGACAAGAAACTTGTTTTTGTTATTTAATTTTGAGATCGTAATTTAGAAACAATATATCTAAATAGTTATTAAATGCTTACATTTTTTAATAAAATTGGAAACAAAATTGGAAACAAGAAATAGGGGTGTGTTACCAAATTGACTCAGAGTTTATTTGGTAACATTTTTGTCCCTTTTTCCTCATGTTTATTGTTCTTTATTTTTTTTTTAAGGAACATTGATAACTATTTATTGTTTTTTCTTAAAAAAAAAGATAATAATAAATAAAATTTATATTAAATATTCAAATTTGTAATGTTATATTTATTTTTCATATTAATTATACATTTTTATAAGTTGAGAGGGGTAAAATAATACTTTTATTTATGCTTTGAAAAAAATTGAAAACGAGAAACTTTCCAAATAATTATGTTTCTAACAAACTAGAAACATATAGCCAAATAATTATGTTTCTAAAAGACTAGTGACGATAAAGTGGTTATGGGCCCTTAATTGAATTGTGACGATAAACATATTGAATTGTGATTCTATAGTTCTTATCAATAGTTCTTGTCGGTAACATAAGATTGTTAATTAGCTAAATGAGGTATTTATTGATTTAGCTGGTCAGGTTGAAACTGGTAAAATTCTAATATCTTAGGTTGGGGCTATTATACGGTTTGATAATTCATTATCTAAATTTTTAAGCTTCTTTATTACGGTATATTATTGGAGGGATTCAAACTCGAGATCTCTTGATCAATAATTAGAATAACTCAATTGATTAAGAAAACATCGTCTAAAAGTTTTAAATCTCCATTCTATTTACTAAAAAAATCCCTCACGCAACCCCCTTTGACACATAGGAAAAAAAAAAATCCATCTCAAATTTATATAAACTTTACAAGAAAATGTTACACTAATTTAAAATCTAGTTGTAAAAATAAATATGGTTGTATATACAGATGAACTCTCTAACAAATTTTTTTAATAGATAGACGCATTCTTTTGCACGTTTAGGAGAAGAAGCACCATAACATACACATGAAATTCAACTTTTATTTTTTCTGTATAAAAAATAACATTCATTTAATGAGTTTTATTAAATTTCAATATTTAAAATTAGTTTATAATATTTTTATGTACTAAAAATATAGTAATTAATGTAATTATCTATTGTACTAAAAAAAGTAATTATCTATTTCAATGTTATACTAATTATATGAATCTAATGCATTTCTTATCACCATATTTACAAATAATATTTTGTAAGGAATAGCACATATATAATTGATTTGATTGAAGAAACTAAAATCTTTTTCGATTATTGATGATTACATATGAAAATTGTTTGATATTTTATTTAAAACGGTTCATTATTCCAATTTTCTTAAGAAATATAAGCATCTTACGTTTCTTGTTTCTCAAAGACTTGATGATTTTTTTTAGATGAAGCCTAATGAAAAAGTGTAGCTGTTGAAACATATAATTACATGTATGTTCCTAAATGCCTTTTATTTTAATTTCAAGTAAAAAAATTATCTTTCTACTCTAAAAGGAAAATAAAAGACAAAAATATAACACTACAAAAATGGTAAAATTGAAACATAAATTTATACTCTATATTGTATGACTTTAATTTTTTTTAATTTATATTTATTTAATGAAGCAAAAATCGTAAATTACATAAAATATATTATTTAAGTAGAATAATTAAAAATAGAAAAATAATAGGAGCCAAACAGAGAGATAAAATTTCTCTTATGTGACTCCTTTTATATGTAGAACAAAATTTATTATGTTCTCTCTTAATATTCAGTTCAATTTTTTTACTATAATATTTGTTGGATCCTATCTTTAGAAGTAACTCAAGTATTTATAAAGTATTTGAGTACAATATATTGGGAAATGGATTCGAACTCACAACTTCTTAGTTGGAGGTATATGTTAATTACCGTTGAACTATGCTTGCTCGTTTTGGTAAGTATTTATAAAATTTGTTGAGTCAAGATCCTTAAAATTTTCAAAATATCGTAAATAGAAATAAGTATTCTGTGATTAAACATAAATTTGACCAAATATCTCTAGCACTAAGTAGTACAATTCAATTAAAAAATTTGTGATTAGGAGCTTTTTTTGGTAAATTAAACCTAGAGCAGGAAAAAGGCACCAGAAACAAATAGGATAAGTTTATTTGTCTAATAAATTTTTGTATTGTCTACTAGATTTCTAAAGCTTTAATTTTGTTGTTTATAAAGGGGTGAAATCATTAAAATTGGGCTAGAGTGAAAAAGGAAAATATATATATATATATATATATGACCTGTTGCTGTAGGGCGAGTACAGTGGAGACGCAGCCGTAGACGGGGTCGGAGAGCCTGGCCTGAGCCTCATAGGAAATGGTGACGACGGCGTCGTGGCGGCGGGTGACCGGAATATGCAGCAGCAGCTTGGAGACGTTACTGGCGCCGAAGACCTTATGGACGGCGGCGAAGCGGGCGGCGCCCTGGTCGGACCCGAAATGTGGCGCGAAGATGCAGCCGTTGACGCACTTTCTTCTGAGAAACTTGCAGGCGCCGCACGGAGCCACCGAGTCCGGCTGCTCCTGCCTGTTGCCGCCCCGCTTCCGCCGAGGAGCCAACACCACCAATTCTCCGGCGTCGGCCATGCAAATTAAACGAATTAAATTAATAATTAATAATTAATTAAAAATGATGAGAGAGAGAGACAGGGGTTTGTTTTGGTTATAAAGAGAGAGAGAGAGAGAGAGAGAGGGCCACGTTAGTCTCGTGAGAGGTTGGCGAAATCTGGGGGAAGTTTCTTTTCGATCACTTCTAGAGAGAGAGAGAGAGAGACGTTATGATTTATGAATGGGTTGGTGAAGGTAGGGAAATGGGAAGAGCGAGGGGGTGTACTGTGCACGTGCAAAGGGCGTGACTTTCTCTCTCCTCTCTCTCTCTAGATTATTTTTTTATTTTTATTTTTTACTTCCTTCAAAGCTGGCGAAGGGCAGATGATGAGTGACCAAAGCAAAGGAATTGCGCTGTTGTTGACGTGAGGGATACATATAATGCTTTTAATTACGTTTTGGAAAAAAATTATTGGGAACGGGAACAAATAGACCAGGAAACTTCTTGCTTCTGTTGTCTATTTTATATTTTTTTTTAAAAACAAAATATGAGAAATAGAAACATTTATGGTAAGAAAAAAATGGATACCAGAACGAAAAAAATAAGAAATTGGAAAATAGGGAGTGGGTATATCAAGTCCTTCCGGGTCACTCCGAGAACAGCTTAAAGAAATTTTGTAGTGAATTCAAAATAGGTTGATTTTTGTAGGGACATTATTAAAAACAAAAAAAAATTGATTGTAGTATGATTTTATCACGTGGAATTTAACGAAATTAGCTTACTATGTAGTAACGTTTTTATTTATTAATTTTATTTTCAATCTGATCAAGAAATTTAAGCATTTGACAATTATTTGTGTTTTTCTCGTTTATCATTTTTTAGAAACATTTTCGAAACTATATAGAAATTCTGAAAACGACAAATATAAATTATTCTTATTTCTTATTCCTATTTAGTTTACAGTTTGTTTCAAAACATAAATATATACCTTATTTTGTCATTCTTGAATCTATAGATGTTGGGGGCATGCAATTATACTTTTCTTTGTTAATAAAAGATAAACAAAAACAATAAACGGAAATGTTATTAAACGAGCCGATCATTTTACAGAATATATATAATTCATGGAGATATAAAAGAGAGGCTTAAGGGGTATTTGTTCCATGAGTAGGTGTTAGGAAAGGTTTGTTCCAATTAGTGAAGTGCGTTATTTGGACATAAAAGGCTTAAGGTTCATGCAGAAGGGATGGGTTCTCGTAGGTGTAATTAATTGCTCATGAGTGTTTCCAGTTTATTTACAAGCAAAGTTACCCACACTAGTTGTTTAATAGGATGATGACTTCCGGCCTGTATCCCTGTTTCATTTTCCATCCCCACGAAATTTGCGTGTGGGATCCCGACGACGAATTCAACTCGAGGGCCGGCCGGGACTGGATTATTCGTAGGAATTATTCTTGGTTTATTTTTTTATTTGTTAGGGGTGAAATTCTAGGTTTACTTAAATGAGACCAATGAAGCGACACGTGGATTTGGATCCATGGGTTGGGGCACTCATCCATACTAGGGTGGGACACAGTAGGGGGATCCATAACTTTTGTTGAAGGAGACGTTTTTTGTACTAAATATTATATTCAAAATAATCTAAACGTATGAAAGCCAAATAGAGCTTCGATCGCCTAGCGGACTTGGACACGTGCTCCACTGCGCCAAAATCCTGAAATCTTATTAACATGAATCATATTATTTAGTATATGATACAAAATGTTTCAAAAGTTGAGAGGAGTTTGGTCCCATTGTGTGGATCTGCCTCCAGTGGAACCACCGACCAACCCAACTTGATTTGACCATGCTGAGTCATGGGTTAAACCACCCTATGAAGCTAGGCTATTTGATCTATCAAAGACTATCTATAAATAAGACCAGATCTGAGGACAACAAGATACCTAGCACAACTTTTACATAATTTCCTTGAATGTTGCAAAACACTGTCATAATACTTATGTAATTAAGGTTCCTCCTACTTTTCAAGAACCCAATTAAACCTTAAAGGGATATTGAGTTGCAAAAGTTGAAGTGTTTCCTTTCTTTATCAAAAAATCATGCAAATTTGAATAAAAAGTATTCTTAAATACATAATAAGGTAATTAAATAGTATTTAACAATAACTAATTAAATAATAAAACATACTCAAAATTAACCTTTTATAAACTCAATGAGAACAACAAGATACCTAGCACAACATTGATAGTCTTCCTCTGGGCTGACGATATCAACTTGCAAGTGGTACTCTCAATGTGGTGATCAAACATTGATAACCTATCCTGTCAAGTGAAAACCTTCATTTGGGCTGAGAATCACTCACATGGCATAACTTTGTATTATACATGTTTATCACCATAACTATATGTACTGGACATATTATTTGGCCAAATTGAAGTCTTCGTTTGGGTCGACTACAGGGTGCTTAAACACAAATATCCACAAACATATGATAATTTTGAAAGATATCAATATCAGAAATCAGAGGCTACTTTGGCAGCATGATTCATCAAATTAACACCAGGATCAGATAATTATGCAACACATGTAACTTTAATTATTATAAATTTTATCTTTATGAAAATAACACTACCAAAATTATTTTTAAAATTAATAATAATATCTTTATGTGCATAATTTAATAATGGGAAAAGTCCACTAAACAATTTATTAAACCAGAAAGAAAAATAAAAACTGGATTTTCCTAAAAGAAATATTATTGATATTTTAATTCATCAACAATTTGACATACACTATGGAGCACTAATTATAGCACGCAATAATCTAATATCAATAATCAGTTCCATACTTGTGAGTGTATTTGTTATTGGTACAAATTATGACATTCCTTTGGGTTGATCATAATTCGCATAAATAACAATACTAAGATGTCACAAAATTATTATTTAATTATTCTTAATTATTTCCATATGAAAATAAAATGCCTTAAGTTATTTTCAACCATTAACAATAATATTTTCATGCATCAAAATATTCATAAGAATTAAAAATTGTGTCAAGTATTGTTAATTTATCACCATAAAAATCAACTTTTAATTAGCACAATTTAAAAAGAAAAGTTAAACGTCATCAACATTTTGTTATACCCATAAATATTTATAACATATTATATATATATATATATAAACAATTGTTAAAAAATTAATAAATGACAAAGAAAAGAAAACAAAAACTTACTTTAAAGTGTTGTGGGGCCCACTGCACCATTCTCCGGAATTGACAGCCCTAGCACCAATCCTTTATGCTTCAGGTGCCGCAACCTTCGGGGCTTTTTTTTTTCTTTCCTTTTTTTCCTCCTTTCTTTTATTTTGTTTCTCCTCTTTAATCAAATATTTCTTATATCCACGAATTTGTAAACTTAAACCATTAAACTTATCAAATCATTGATGTACAAAAATTTCAACAATTAAATATTTTAATTCAAGCAAAATTGTTCAACATATCATCAATCAAAATAATTCCATAGCATGTAGTTTAAACAAATGGGTTATTAAAGGAACAACATGCCTAAAAGTAATTCACAAAGATCCAGTAATTATCCATACAAAATCATGCTCTGATACCACTTGTTAGAAAATTTAAAACAAATCCTAATTCATGATCATTCTAAAATAAAAGCCATAAAATTCCAGAACAATCAAGACCAATGATCTAAGCAAGAAGAAAACCAAAATCTATAAAGAGATTAGAATTATCTGAAACCATTAGATAGATTGACCATGATCTGCAAGAAGTTGTGGTTTGTGGTCTTCCTCAACTATGCAACCCAGACCAAATATGGGCAATACTCTCTGTTTGATGGGAACAAGAGGCTCAAGAAGCATAGTGTATTGGGGACCATAACCATATAATTATAGGTTAATCCTAGGGTTTCCCATAATCTCCTAGGATTAATTGACTGATTTCTACTCAGCAAGCCACACCACTAAATGGGAAGTCATGGGCCCATAATCAAGATCACTCATATGCACATTAAATAGCCCAAATATAATCGCTCTTTAATTTGTTACCCACATATGAATTAATTATTAAATTAATTCCAACATTGAGGTGCAAGAGGTATAGGTTTTACAACCCTACTTCCTACCAATTTCAATGAGATTCTTTGTCACATTTGAAATGTATTGGGCTTAGCACCATATTAGTGTGCAGATATCTTGTATGTGCACATATTTGTCAAAGCATTTGACGTAGGAATTAACACAGATGATCTGAATCCTACATCGATTTTTTTAATTTGCAGTTAAATGTTAATTCTCCTCAGAAATCTCCATTTATAAGGGAAAATTCTGAAATTTTCTAAGAACGTTTTATAATTTATCAAACAACAAATTCTAAAAATTAAAATTTTTTACAATTTAAATTACCAATACAAATAATAAGTCCTAAAACATAAATATCATAACAGTGTCTAAGTTAGGGTTTATATATATTCTCATTCCTCGTCCCTGCCCCCAATTTAGGTCATAGGGACAAATTCTTCATCACCTTCGTCCTATGGGGCACTTAAACGGGGATTCCCCAAGCCATTGAGCGGATTCTCGTGGGAAAAGGTAACAACCCCCATATGGATTCATGGTCGGTTATTTCTTATTTTTCACTATAAATAAGTTTTTAAGTTCTTCTCGATTCCTTGCAAACATGAGAAAATTTAGGGTTTTTTTCCTTTTTCTTAGTACATGTATAACACATAGGAGTGGGGATTCAAACTCACGATCTTTTGGTCGGACATAAATGTCTTAACCCGCTGAATTATGCTTAGATTGGTATGAAAAAATTTAGGTGATAGAAATGAGGAGAATAAATTTCATAATCGGTTATTTTCTTTCAAGATTGATATATGCACTTGATCCGTTGCGCTCCAAACTGAGGCAACTCTCTGATTCATACTCTATAAGAATCAATAGATATGTACAGATAGAAATTAGGAGAGAATAAATTTCATAATTGGTGATTTTCTTTCAAGATAGGTGACTTTCAACGGTTTATGTA